CGTAATCATTGCATACATTTTTGCATGTTATCATCAAAAACTCTTTTTGCATGTAAATCACTCGACGTAATATATATCACACACACAAATATAGGTTATAAACCTAGCGATGAAAAAGTCCATGTTTCTCTAACACTTTTCCCCCCAATTCTCACTTCAATTTTTTTTTTTAATTTCCCCCAATTCCCACTTCAATTTTTTTTTAAAATATATTTAATTGAAACACATTTTCTCTGTGTTATTTATTTATTTTTGAAGTTGTTAATTCAAGTGATTTGATATTTATACTCTTTAATTAAAATTGAAGTTTGATCTCCATCTTGAGTATGGAATTGTGATTGGAAGTATCACTTTACTCTTATAAAAGTTTTTTTATTTAATATTTTTTTATTTTTTTATACTAACAAATTTATCTCATTTAATTTAAAACATGTTGAAGAATAAATGGGAAATGTGGTTAAATTTTTTAAGGCCAACATTAGACTCGACTACTATAGCTAAATTGTGAAGAATGAAGTTAGCTAGTCTTAGAATGAAACTAACATCATAGTTTCATAAACTAGACAATAACAACTTACATTTATGCATTATATTCTCATATTCAAAATAGTCTAGGTAGTCTTTGCTAAGATTGAGAAAGATGCATTGATAGTCGGACTCAAAGGATATGTTGCTCAAATTGAGATCTTCCACTTAACAGAGGGTCTCTAGAAGAGCAATAACTTTGCACTTGTAAGAGACCTCAATTGTTCTAGCATTCAAAAATGTGCTAGAATGGTCTCTAAGAAACATTTCAACGCCAAATAAATTTGAGGGAGGGAAGAGAGCAACATCAATATTGCATTTGATTTTTACCTTGTTTGGGAGTGTCACCAAGTTTGATAAGCTAGTCTTATGTTATTATTAATGATAAGGAATGTGACATTGTAATATATAATAGAAATAAGTTTTTATAATATTACAAAAACATATTTTTGTTTTGTATTGTGACATCATACCACGTACTTCTAATTATAAGAGAATGTAAATTAGTTTATATTATGTATGGTAATGTAATACAAAATAAATCATGTTTTTCTTTTGTAGTTTGATTTAAATATACAACAAAAATACATATTCATTGTGTATTTCTTTATCAAGAAATTTAATAACTTCTTAATTAGATGATTAATTTTAAATAAAGTGTTCATTTAGTTAAATTTGATGTTTTTTTAAATAATTTTAATAGTTGATTAACTTGTTAAATAACAAATGAGGCAAAAATATGAAATATATCAAAATAAATCAACATAGTTGTGCAAAATAAGTCAACATAGCCTAAAACAACACAAATAATAAAGATAAAATATTTCAAAATAAGCTAACACCAAACACAAATAAAACACAGCGATGAAAATCCATCATGTCACGTGTGGCTCTTCTTCATTTGATAAGTACATTTTGTTACAACCATATTACCTTCAATAAACACTTTGCGAGGACATTTGTATCATTGTTAAAAGTAATATTTCAAATATTCCAAATATGTTGAGTTGATTTGTAGATAATGCTTACAACAAAAAATGAATATAAATAAGTAATATAAAGATTTGATTTTTATTTAACACACGTACACATAAACTTACTTATAATCATGAGAATTGCTCGAAAAGGACTCTGTATGGCTGCCTCTAGATTGGTGCACATGTACTACTAGCAAAGGGTCTCTTTGTGGTTGTCCCATTAATGGGCAAATGGTGTATGAATGAGAAATGTGGTTGAACTACTTTAGGTTATTAACATATTCCGGTGGATAGCCTTGAAAAATAAGTGCCCTTCTACCATCAATCTCAAGAACATGAGTTTTTTTATTGAGTAAATCGCTCATCACATAGTTCAACAATGAGCTAATGGTCAAGCAGCGAGCAAAGGATCTCTTGCACATGCTCAAATTATTGTAGCACCCTCTCAAGTAGATAGTCGTGCAATTGAGGGCTAGATCTATAGAAGTCGGAGAAATAAGAGATATCATGAAAGAGTCGTACTCGTGCTTATGCTCCTCATACAACATTCAAATGAAATCCTCTAGTCACAATTGATCTAGCAGTAACCTCATCAACAATGTATCATTGTAGTCCTTCGCAGGGTTCTTCTATAGGTACAAGTTTGGTCTCAATGTATAAATTGATCAAATCGTGACGATTAATGGTTGAGAAATGCTCATAAGATCATTAACAAAATTCAGTTTCGTAAAACAAATACTTAAAAATAAGAGAAGAAAAATAACAAAATAAATTTGGCACCTGTAGTAAAGTCATACTTCCTACATGTATGAAGTTCATGAAAAAGTTGCAAGTAGTAGACAAGCTTGCACGTGAAGCCCTGGTTGGCAAAGATTATGTAGCCAACCAAATGTATGAGATTAGCTCTTGTGACAAAGATGATCTAGATGGCCCCCAAGACTGAATGATATATGTCTTTTAGCAAGTCAAGTGTTACACATGTTCCTTGTTCATTCGCAACAATTGTCTGGTATTACCTCACCTCAGGCTTGCACATTAGGATGCCATTTGCATATACATCACCTTGAGCTTGTACATCAGGATGCCATTTGCACCACTATTGGTGTGAAAGGTGAATGGAGTAGGTGTCCTTGTGCCACCACTCAATAAAAACACAACATGGCTTTGTTTGATGTATAATAGTGTGCCTTTACGATAGAGGTCAACATTGACTCGCACAATTTTTCACCTACGAGTGCTGAGACAGTGCAAAGATCTTATCTTATAATTAACCAATTTCAACACTATGCTGATTCGCCCTTTCCACAAGCACGAGACAATATGATATATATAAGACTTCAACATAGTCTCATGTCAAAACCTCTTGGACAAAGGGACCAACAAACCATAACTCAACAATAGGTACCAAAGACTCAAGAGTGATAAGTGGCTCATATGATGCATTGACACATTGCAACCTCCTATGTTAAAAGAAAATAAAGAGACTAAAAAATAAATAAATGAAATAAAAAATTTTACAATATATAAAATAACACCCTTATTAAAAAAAAAATAGTGAGGTCAGGTATATTGAGAAAAAAAAAGTTATTTTTTTGTTCTAAATTTTACTTTTTTTCAAAGTGAATATTTTACTTTAGAAAAAATAAAAGGTTTTAAGTATTAACTAAAAAAAAATAGTTCAGAAAATATTTATAGTTCATATTTAAAAAATATTAATCAAAGAGTATTAATATTTATAGTTCAAACTAATTTTTTTTAAATACTTTAAGAGTGAATTAGTGGAATAAAAAAGCAATTAATTATGTTATAATACCAAAAATATTCTCATTAAATATTTTTAAAAAATGCTTTTTAATATTTTTTAAAAATATAATCATTCAAAATAATTATTTTAAATTTATATAAATAAATAAGTATATAGAAAAGTAAAAGATGAATAAATTAGTACGATAAAAAATTATAAATAAAAATAAAAAAATGTTGGATCGTCCGAATGAGGATTGCGAAAATTGTTCCAAAATATTAAAAATTTGATTTAAAGAATAAAATATTAAAAGATATTAATATTTTAATCATTCCGTTCGAAATTTGGTTCGGAGCAATCCTCATAAAAATATATTGATATTTAAAAACGCTTCTCTATAATTTTTTTTCTTTCTCTTATAACACATAATGATTCCGGTCGAGAAGGGAATCATTCCCAAGTAATCAATAAGTTGACACCGTTTCAATCCCCGTTTTCTGGCTATACACTTCTCGAGCAGTCAATTTCCTCTGCATTTTCTTCTCTGTTTCACCTCTCTATTGTTAGGGATTGCTTAATCTTTGCGCTCCACGAAGCCATAGCACAATTTCGTTCTTTCTTCTGCTTCACCAATGCCGGAGATGAAGACCAAAAATGCCCCTTTCACCGAAGAAGATGCCGCCACACTCATACAAAGGTTCTCTTATTTCCTTTTGATTTCTTCTTCTAATTTCGCGTCGGAGCTTCAACGATTAGGGGTATTGCGCAGGTACGACGCAACTACTGTGTTCACTCTACTTCAGGAAGTGGCGCATCACCCTCACCCGAAGATCGATTGGAAAGAGTTGGTGAAGAAGAGCGCCACCGGGATTTCCAATGCGAGGGAATACCAAATGCTGTGGCGCCACTTGGCGTATCGCCATTCCTTGCCTGAAAGTTTCGAAGATGGAACTGAACCTTTGGTCTGTGTAACGCTTCTTACTTGCGAAATCTCTTTGTTGTGATGTAATATATTTTTAGGTAAAATTCTGTTGAGACAATTTCATAGCTAGCTCCAGTTATTCCCTTCTGAAACTGTTGGAACAACGGACTGTTACTTTGTATTAGTATGAGATATTTATCTCGAATAAGTTTTAGGGTTCGATTGAAAAAACCTATTTACAGCTTATTTGAGCTTATCTTATAGTATAAACATTTGTTTAAGTGTTTGAGAGAGCTTATGAAATAAGTTATGATATCTCCATAAACTGTTTTCAACTTATTTCATTAAGCTCAATAGGATAGCTTAGGAAAATGTTTTACAATTTATATAAAAATAATTTAATCCTATTTACTCTTTGGTTTTAGAAGTAACTCATTTAGAACCTATTTGGATGCAAGTCATAAGTGCTTTTGAGAGCATCTTTATTGAAAATAACTCTTTATTTTCGATAGAGAAGCTTTCAGAAACACTTCTAATATAAAAAAAAACTCTTAATCCTTTTCGAGTCAAAATTTTCACGTGTTTAGTCTGTTTATTGATAATGGCGAAGCAGTTACTCAACTAATGATTATAGTTGAGATTGTCAGTGTCTTGAAGGTTCACTTCTTGCGGAATATAAAGAACTTTTCAATGTTCTATATATTATTTTATTTTTAACAACCTTTTCTCTTGAAATTGCTATCTCATATTAATTTTGCACAAACTGCAGTATTGTCATTTTTTCATTGGATTCTTGGATTAGTATGGGATATGTTCATACTTATCTAGAGTCTCATTTCCAGGATGATGATAGTGACCTAGAGTTTGAGGTAGAAACATTACCCCCTGTAAGTGTAGAATCTGCATCAGAGGCTGCTGCATGTGTGAAGGTAAATACGCTTCCCTAATGTTACACATTTTATCTCACTAGGCAATATAAGAAATGTTTTTTATTTTTTATTTTTTTATTTTATAGAATCACAAGTTTAAATTTTAGTAATATGTTTCTGATTGTGGGGGGTTTATAATTACAATAATAAAAAAAAAAAACTTGTATCTGATTAATATATGATTGCAAATTGTCTTGCCTTTACTCAACAACTTTAAGATTAGTAACGCTGTATGGTTGTGAACGATAGACAGTGAAGTGCCGGCAAGAGCAAAATTCAAGTGTAGTGAAGGTGAGGAGTAATGTACTAAAACAGAAGATGGAATTTGAGAAATGTATCTGAGAGAAAGTTGATAGAAACTTGCAAAATGTGGGTTTGGTCACATGAGAAGGCTAGTGGAGTCTCCATTGAGAAAACTAGGGCTAGTTAAAGATTGTTTGATTAAAATGGGTAGGGAAAGACCTAAGAAAGTATTAGAAGAAGTAGAAACCAATAAGAAACACCTTTATAAATTTTATTGAAAATTTGTTATCTGGTAGAACTTGATGATGTTGATTGATCATTTGATCCAAGTTTATGATCCCATGTATAATTGAGTTCTCTTTACAGTTTCAATGATTAAATTTTCTGTTGTGTTATTTCTTGATATTCAATTTTGACCAACCTGTTCTCGGAAATTATTTATTTATCAGGTAATGATTGCTTCTCGTACACTAAGTGAATCTGCCCCTAGTAGCTCAACAATCGAGGCAAGAAACACCTTTATAAATTTTATTGAAAATTTGTTATCTGGTAGAACTTGATGATGTTGATTGATCATTTGATCCAAGTTTATGATCCCATGTATAATTGAGTTCTCTTTACAGTTTCAATGATTAAATTTTCTGTTGTGTTATTTCTTGATATTCAATTTTGACCAACCTGTTCTCGGAAATTATTTATTTATCAGGTAATGATTGCTTCTCGTACACTAAGTGAATCTGCCCCTAGTAGCTCAACAATCGAGGCTCCATTGAATATCAATGTTCCAGTTTGCCATTCATCTAGAACTCCTATTGAAAGTTCACAGCCCTCTAATTTGATGCAAGGAACAAGTATTATTTTTCCAGTTACTGTTCTTAGACAGACACTCCCACCCTCTGCATCATCAACAGATGGTGCAGAAACCAAGGGATTTATTAGTGGTAACATGGCTTCCAAAAGAAAGAGAAAGGCATGGTCAGAGGAAGAGGACATGCAGCTACGAGCTGCTGTTCAGAGATGGGGTGAAGGGAATTGGGCAACCATGGCAAAAGGAGACAACTTTCCTATTAAGAGAAGTCCTACACAGTTGGCTCAGGTGATTTTTAAATCCTATGTTTATAAAATACATGGCCATTATTAACTCGTATTATATATTTTCTTAGTATTTATGCAAAAGTTTCATTGGTAGTCCATATAAGGTAACATGTTCATCATTATCTGTTTTGAACTTTTGAATAATAGCTAGAAGTATTAGCAAGTGGTCATGTTCATCAAGATGGTAAAAAGAAGTGTAAGAAAGAAAAGACAGCAAGGGTTTAAATTCTTCAAAATAACGTTCTCCTTTATTTTAAAACTAGTAACACTTTTCCCGTTATCTCATGTTTGTAGTTTGTTTCTAATTATTAGCTTGCTTGGTGGTCATAGATCTAGAACAGCATCCTTTGGTAATTGTTAATGACGAAATGTGAAAATCCTAGCATTCTAATCATATAATCCATCTTGGTTTGTTAGTCCTAGACCTTGTATATCACCAATGTCCATTATATGTATGAGATACAAACCAGGTATCTTATTAAAAAGAATAAGGGGTTTCTCCACTCATTACAATCCTTAACTTGCATAACTTTGGGGCTCTGCACCTCCCAATGCCCAAAGGCCCCAATTCTCACAGAAGACAGATGAAACCCCTCTCAACTCTTCCTATTTATATACAGTTAATGGTCTGCTAACATAAACGCACACTCAATGGGCCTAATCAGCATCCCCCCATTTCTAACATAACTGCTAACTGATCCTATCAATACTCCCTTCCTAAACATTCACCTTGTCCTCAAGGTGAACAACATATAGTTGCAGAAACTAAAATTTTATTTCACCAGGGCCCAACTGCGTGAATCTTGATACAATTTGCAATTCACCAAAATCCTCTTGAACATCCACCATTGTATGAGTTCCACTGTCTGGTGGCTTCGGCGGGGGAGGTTTGGCTGGTGGGTTAAAAATTCATAATTCCATCAATGTTGAAGACTTCTCCCTCTTTGTGCACCTGCTTGTGATTGTTGATTCTGTTGATAACCATCGTTGCGTTGAAGCTGTTTGCTTCTTAGATGTAATAATCTCTTCAGTTGTTGCAACTCAAACAACATCTTATGATTTTGGTGGTGGAAGTTGGTCATCTGGCTGGCTGAAGACCCACCCCTCTCTAAGTATCTCTTCTCTGTCATCCCAAGTTTTTTGATGGCACTTTCTCTTTCTGCTATTTGTCAGTTGTTTTTGGAGGAGTTCCTCTGCTTCTCTAGAATTTTGTCCAGCTTGTTCAAGATTTCCTGGAATGTATCCTCTGAAGTCCCCAACACTTTTATCCATCTGTAACCACTGTTCTGCTGTTTTGTTTCCTCTGTTGCCTTCTTTCTTGCAAGTTTCTGTCCACCATTGTTGTGATGCTTGTTTATTCATTCTTGATTCTTCTTTTTGATCTACTGCCAAGTTCATTTTTTTTTTGCAACTGCCTCTTTTTGCTTACCCCAAAGGAGGGTTTCAAGAACCACCTGTGCTATTGGCCCATCCACCACTCTAGACTCTTCTCTGCTGCCACGGTTCTTGCTACCTATAGCTTTACATTCACCTCTGTTTTCTTGCTCTTCTGTTCTGAATCTTGAAGATAAGCCCTAAGCTCTGGTTGGAAAACCTTGAGCACAGCGCCACAGCCTTCTCAAATTTTAAAAATGTAGCATTCTGGTTAATTGAGAGCATCCCCTTTCAATGCCATCCAAAATGAAGATAACTTCTCACGCACTATAAGGCCTCTAAAATACTTATCTAAATCGATCAGCCATCAATAAGTGTTACACTGTTACCCATCCCATCAAATTTTGGAATCATCTTCAAGAAACGATACACACAGCTCCAAGATCGGAGCTCTGATACCAATTGATGCAAATCAGGTATCTTATTAGAAGGAATAAAGGATTTCTCCACTCAATACAATGGTTAACTTGCAGAACTTCAAGGGTCTGCACCTCCCAATGCCCAAAGGCCCCAATTCTCTCACAAAAAACTAGATTAAATCCTTCTCAAGCCCTCTTCCTATTTTTATACAGCTAATGATCTGCTAACATAAACTCACATTCAATGGGCCCAATCAGTTTTAGGCCCATCCCCCTTATTTCTAGCATAACTGCTAACTGACCCTAGCAGTATGCTATCCATTACATTTGAAAACCAGCCTGGTTTTCCCTGAACCCAAAACAGATCAAAAAAGGTAAGTTAAAATTAGTGTTTGATCACTGAGGTTTTTAGTCTTGTGCTTGTTCCCTGTAATGAGTTTATTGAAAGTTCATTATCTTTCAGATGAACACTTCCAAAGCAGTAAATTTATTAACCAAGAATATTTATCAAAAATTGTTTTATGTTAACTCGTTGATTAATGTTGAGATTTCGCATTGATTAGAAATATGATTAATGTAGTTCCTATAAGAATTGGGAAATCCTCATCTTATGAAGTGGTTTTGTAGGGTTGAATTAGGCCGTATGCTCAAATTTTATAATGATATAAAAGCCTATCCTAGATATGTTATTTGGCCACCCGTATTTGTCTACACTCTAGATGTCTATTCTTAGGCATGAGAGGGTGTTGTTATTGGACCACCCACATTTATCCATTTTCTAGTCTTGAGCGTGAGGGCGTTTGCTGAACTTGAGATCCCATGTTGACTAAAGATATGATCAATGTGGTCTTTATAAGGCTTGACTGCTTGAGTAGTTCTCACCTTACAAATTGTTCTTGTGAGGTTGAGTTAGGCCTTATACTTAAATTTTAAGATGGTATCGAAGCCTACTTTAAATCTATTATTGGATTTCCCATATTTGTACATGCTCTAGATGTCTATTTATAGGTGTGAGGGAGGGGTCTTGTTTTTGAGATCCCTCATTGATTAAAGATATGACCAATGTAATCCTTCTAAGGCTTGGGTAGCCCTCACCTTACTAGCAATGTGATATTGAGTTAGGCCTTGAGCCCAAATTCTAAAAATTGTAAGTTAGATAATGGTGGCAAGTATTATTGAAAGTTAACTATTGATAGATCTTAATCTTTTGTATCATATATTGATAGATTGACTGCTTCGTCTGTGGATGCATAGAATGGTCTTTATTTAGTTGAAATCTGATACCGTTATCAAACATAGCAGATATATACTCATCAATTTATTCTTGGGAGAGAATACCTTAGCTTGATTGTGTAGCTGTTGAAGTTGGGCATGTTGGAAAACTGACCATTTTTGGTGTTCTATGTACATTGTGTGTTAAGTGTATCATCCCTTCCTCTCTTGATTCTAAAAGGGTGTCTTAGAATAGTGGATTAAGCCTAACTCAACCCTACA